AGGCTGAGAAGGAGGTTAACGTGGCAGAGTATATGCCTTGCATGTGTGGGGCTCTGGGGTTGACTTTTTTTTTTTTTTTTGCTTTTTGGGTCACTCCCGGCAATGCACAGGAGTTACTCCTGGCTCTGCACTCGGGAATTGCTCCCCGTGGTGCTCATGGGACCATATGGGATGCTGGAAATCGAACCCAGGTCGGCTGCGTGCAAGGCAAACGCCCTACCTGCTGTGCTATGGCTCCAGCCCCGGGGAGGGGGAGGGAGGTTGACTTTTTGATCTCTGACAAAATGTGTACCCTCGCCGCGCCTTACCCCCATCCCTTCACCCCTTAGCCGCCTTGCATGCGGCCGACCTAGGTTCGATTCCCAGCAACCCATATGGTCCCCCGAGCACCGCCAGGAGTAATTCCTGAGTTCATGAACCAGGAGTAACTCCTGTGCATCGCTGGGTGTGACCCAAAAAGCAAAAAAAAGTTGTTTCGGATTCGATTCCCAGCATCCCATATGGTCCCCCAAGCACCACCAGGAGTGATTCCTGAGTGCAGAGCCAGGAGTAACCCCTGAGCATCGCCAGGTGTGACTCAGAAAGGAAAAACAAAAACAAAACAAAAGCAGAGTCAAGTGTGGATCCCACCAAAAGAAGGGTGGGGGAAGGGCCGCATCTGGAGGTATAAATACACAAATGTATCATGGGAGCTTGACAGTAACTCCTACCTCACCTGCTGGCAGTAGTGATCTTAGTAAACAATGTTAATAACCAAGGCCAGTACTCAAGCCAATTTATCCTTTGTCCCAAATGAAAAATGGCAATACATAAGGAGTTTGCAGGGCCCAGAGAGCTAGTCCAGGAGTTAAGGCACTTTCCTTGCATGTGGCTGACCTGGTTCAATCTCCAGTATCACATATGGTCCCCTAAACCCCACCAGGAGTGATCCCTGAGTAGTACCTTGATGGGAAAAGGGATGTTTTTGATGTTCTCGGTAGTAATCTCCCGCTGGGGAAACTCCAGGGGTATCCAGGTGGACCCAGGAACATCATAAGGCGCCTCATCAGGGGAAGGCAGGAGAGGAAGAGTGAAGAGTGGCATGCTGAGGGAGGCAGAGTGACAGAAACTGTGCTCCTGGCTCTAAAGACGGGAGGTGCTTAGACAGAATACTAGGCAGAAACAAGAAAGGGCGAAGAGATATTCCTCCTGTGAATTTTCAGATGGAACACAGCATTAGCAGCCTGTTGTTGTGCTATATGAGTTCTGAATTCATAGAAGTTTAGAACTTCTCATGCACTCAGCCCATGGAACGAACTCTCAGGCCCTCGCATCAGTCATGTTGGTTAGGCTGAGCTGCAGTAATGTACACTCACAATCTTAGTAATACAGCCGAGCAAAGCTGTGTTTGTTGCTCCCTTTGCGTATTCGTAGGGCCTCTGTGGCCTGTCCTCCTCACTCAGGGACCATAGTTGGAGTAGCTTTACCGTAGCGAACTGGTTACCATGGGAGGGGCAAGGGAGCATGATCAATGGCGCATTGCTTTTAAAGGCTTCCTTCCAGAAATGACATCTATGACACACTCTCGGCCTTGATCCTGGCAAGGTCCGTGCCTTATTTAAAGGGCTCAAGAGGCTCTTCCTGTCATTTGTCAGGAAAAAGGAGAATATGTATATTGATGAGGAACACTAATTACTGTGAAACTTTCCTTCCCTAATAATTCTTTTATTGGGGTGGGGAGACTCAGCAGGCTAGAGTGCTTGTCTGAGCACCAACTTCAACTCCTAGCAAGGAGTTGAACTCCTAACATGGTCCCCCAAGTACTTCTGGGAGCAATCCCAAAACACTGAGCCAGGAGTCACTTCTGAGCACTACCCAGTAAGCCCCCCCCCAAAAAATTATATTATTAAATTTATTATATTATTTTCTTGAGACCTGTGATATAGTTCTGTGGTCAAGTGCTTACCTTGTAGGTGTGAGACCCTGCATTTAATATCCTCAGCAATGCAAAAAATAAAGGTTTCCTTAAACATCATTTTAGTAGCCATTAGCTGAAGGCTCAGGATTATATATCTAAGCCTGACTCTGAGACTTGTCAGTATAGGCCTATACTGACATGTGTGTAATATGTGTAATACATAATTTTCAATCTTTTCGTTTTGCTTTGGGGTCACATGCAGCAGTGCTCAGAGGTTACACCTGGGTCTGCACTTAGGAATCACTCATGGCAGTGCTTGGAGGACCGACCGTGTGGAATGCCAGGAATCGAACCCAGGTCAGTCAGGTGCAAGGCAAGCATCTGACCCATTATACCATCTCTCTAGCACCAAATTATTCTTTTTCTTTTTGGGTCACACCCGTGATACTCTGTGGTTAATTCCTGACTCTGCACTCAGGAATTACTCCTGGCATCCAGAACCAAATTTTTAATGTTTACTATGTAAAAGTATCTGCTAAATTAAACTAGATGACAGTCTATAGAAAGCATAGCTTCCTGTAGAATTACAGCCATTGAGTGGTGTCACGTCATTACTGTGGACTCCAGTCCTTTGCTGACACATTTATAAAGGTGGATTTTATCATTTGGAAAGATGAAATTGACCATACGCTAATTTATACAGAACATTATGTATTTCAACCAGAAGGTTACAATATGACCTTTCCCTTTGATTCTCTCTTGTCTTTGGGATATAAATATTAAAGGGCTCCAATAAATATTAAAGGGCTCTTATTAATTTGATTGGGTTCAAGATGAAGAGTTTTCCCAGATTCTAATTATTTTTCAAATAGTTCTTCTTAATTAACTTGATAAGTAAGTTACTGTAGAGTGTCAATTATGGAAGTGCTACTGTTTCATTTGGTTTGGGTTTTTTGTTTATTTCTGAGCCACATCTGACCTTGCCTCAAGGTGTCCGCTAAGGGTCAGACCCAGCCACCCCCCCCCCCCCCGCTGTGTGGTGCTGAGGGTCAGACCCAAGGCTCCCCCATGCAGAGCACACACTCCAGCCCTTTGAGCCCTCTCCCTCATGTCAGAACTGCTGTTTTTGTCCTCTCTGAAAAGCTTTCTTACCTTATTTGTCAAAGTGAATAATTGTGATTAATCATTTAGAGCAGGAATGAATACTGTCCAGACTACGGACACTTAGGGCCTGCGAAACCTGTGCCTGGCCTGGACCCAGGACAGCTCAGACACATGGTTCCCACAGCTGCCCATGACCTGTCAGCCTGTGTTGTAGGGTCCACGAATGATGTTAGTGATACCCAAGTGTAAAAGTTCCCCACCCCTGATTGAGAATATTTTATCATTTCTGAAGCAACATCTATGTATATATGCACATTTTATATATGTGTATATACATATAGATGGTTTTTATACTTATAGGGGTATCAACAACTAAGGGAGGTAGAGCTAGTAAAATTGTGACCATTTCACAGATGACAGGACTTGACAGCAAGCAGTAGTAAGATAGTAACACCTATTGCTAGGTTTGACAAAGGTGCCCATAATTGCACTCACAAGAAAGCAAGAAGTCAGAGAGAAGATAAGTGATGTGGCCAGCCCCCATTTGATCTCTGGCACTGCATAGGATCCTCTGAGCACATCACATGTCACTTCTGAACACAGAGCCAAGAATAGGCTCTGGGAACCTCTAGGTGTGACCCAACACCCTCCAGTTCCAAAAACAGAAGAAAAGCTTTCCCGGCTCAGCTCCCTCCTGTGGGTCTCCTGCAGCCACCTGGAGAAGAGTCCTGCACATGGCACTCCCCGGCCTCCTTCCCCTCCTTGCCCTGGACGAGTCTCCACAGTTCCAGCCCAGGTCATTTAACAAGTCCGTGGGGCTTATTAGAAAGGAACAGGGAGGGCCAGAAAGGGAGCCCAGGCCCTCAACCTTGTGACATACATTCTCTGAATTTCATCCTTGCCCCCCCCCCAGCTCCCATTCTTGGCTGTAGACTGGAGAACTACAGCAATTCCAGCTCACTTATCACCAAATGGACATCCCTTCCCCATCCTCCGCTGCCAGTCTTGGTTCTCCTCACACACGCTTTTGTTGGTTTGGTTTGGGGCCACACCCGGCAGTGTTCAGGCTTACTCTTGGTTCTGCAGCCAGGATCACTCCTGGCAGGACTCAGGCCCCAGAGGAGGTGCCGGAGATTGAACCCAGGTCAGTTGAACTTGCAAGGCAAGCACCCTACCTGCTGTCCCATCACTCCGGCCCTCCTCACACCATAGGCTGTGAGCTGCTCAGCTCCAGCCCTCTCCCCTTTCTCCCCTGGCTGAGCCCATTGCCTGACTAGATCTTCCATGTAGTTGGATGCTGCACTTTATTCCTCATCTCTGTATCTGTTGCCTGGCCACTGCCAAGTCACCAAGACCCATACCGTGAGATTTACTGCCTTCCAGTCAATACCTATTCTTACAACCAAAGGATTCAGTTGTGATTCAACTGGAACCCTTAATGGCTTCCCAGGAGAAAGTCTCCTCCCCTTCCAGTGCTCTCACAGTCTCATGCTCCAGTTTGATTTGCTAGCTCCTTTTCTAAGTTTGCTCCTGTCCCGCAGCTTCTTTTCCACACCCCATCTTTGGCTTAGAGACCTTTATCTGTGCTGCTGGTCTCCAGGGAATAAACATCTTCCTCCTCTCCCTCACCTTCCCTCAGCCCTTTCACCTAGCCTAGACCCATTAGACCTAGTAGCCAAAGATTTTTAAGTTGTAGGACACATTCTCTCCCTCCCCCGGGGGTTGGGGAACGCAGCCTTGTCTGCCTCTCCGGGAGCCCTCTCTGAGAGTTCCCTCATCCGAGTGAGTTCTGAGGTCAGGGGCTATTGGGCGTTTCCTGCGGGAACCTGAGTCCTGGAGTCCAGCAAGTACTCAGTATTTGGGCAGTGGCATCATTTTATTGGTGGTATTAGAGCCTTGATCCATTTTACTGATGAACCTGTCGGGGAGGAATGATCAGGGAGGGAGGCCAGCAGCACTGGGAGTTCAGAATTCTTACCCAGATGTCTTGTTCTCGCAGCCCGATGAGAATTCACTAGACTTTTCCTCCTGTATGCTTCGGCCTGGCATTAAGAACGCACAGGAGCTTGCTTGTGGGGTATGCCTCTTAAACGTGGACTCCAGGAGCCGGGTAAGTCATACGCCCTCCTCCTGCTGCCAATGGCAGTTGCCATCCCTCAGCTGGCCTGGGACAGCCCCTCCAGAGCCCTTGCAGCGGCCAGCCCTCTGTGCAGAGGCAGAGGCAGCGCTGTTACCAAGTTGAGCTAGGCACAGAGGCAGGAGCATGGGGGCACTATGACGGAACAGACATGAGATCCTGTTGTTGGCCCGCCCTGTCTGCATCTGTGCCTGTAGCACCCGGGCCACAGAGGGGTGGCAGAGAGGAAACCTTTACCCAGCGAATCTGTTTGGAGGCAGAATTCTAGGAACTTTGTTGACCTTATGGTTTCAACATTATTTCAGAAAGAAGAGAAGCCCACAGGAGAACATCCTAAAAAAGTATGAACCAGTTACACCTTATCTGAGCGTCTCCATCTTAAGTCTGAGTGTGGAAGGCATATCAGATGATTCCATGTCATCCCAAATTGTTCCAATCATGAATCCCCGACTGAGTCATCCTCGTTCCCATAATGTTTGATTTAATCAGCGACTGTGTCTGTGGAGCCACTTCTGTCTTGTTTGCATGCTTGTATCTCATAATTGGCTTCTGGTGTTGCGGTTATTTTTCTCTGCCATGAGCAGGGTAACAGACTGGGCAACTTCTTGAAGGCTAGAAGCTGTATTAACAGAGTGAGATCACAGACCTTCAGGATTTGCCGATTAACAACAAAACAAATTCTTTAGGTTTTGAGTTGTGTTTTTTACTTGTAATGCTGTAGGAAAATCCTCAGGATTGTGGCTGGAACTAGCTAACTGTGACTTGCCTATAAGCACTTCTCACCTGGATGATATGTTTTAATGCCTTTTTCTTTTAGAAGCAATATGCCTTCTCAGACTTTCTGTATCAATTCGCTTAACTCCCATTGGCATTAGACCCTGAGAGTTTTCCATACTTTGTTTTCTAACTCTCAAACCATTTTTCTCTTCCAATATTAAAGTAACCAGCCACAGAAGCTTATTGGATTACAGGTCCCAGTCAGTAGCCCGGCTTACCTTCTCACAGGAGGGAGGAGGCTGCCACCGCCCCTGTCTATTTTAGTTCCTCAGCCCCACCCTAGTCTGCCTTTTCTTTCTCATTTATTTATTTATTTATTGTGGTATTGGGGGTCCAACTCAGGGCCTCACACATGGCAGGTCTAGTGCTCAGTCGCTGATCCACATGCCCAGCCCTTAACAGGCTTTTCTATGACAGAGTTGAACTTTGTTTACGGAGGCTGGATTGAGCGGCAGAGATTTGAGGGCACCTTGATTTAGCAGCAGGGATCCTGGCTAAATCGAGCTTGAATCCCAGCTCAGCTCTTGTGATTCTTGCTTGAATCCCAGCTCAGCTTCTGTGTCTGCTCCAGCTTCGCCTCAGCCCCTGTGACCTGGAGTATTGTCTGGGCTCTCAGGGCTGTGTCTGTCCATCTCCCACAGGCGTTCAACTCGGAATCAGACAGCTTCAAGCTAGCATATGGAGGACACCAGTACCATGCCAGCTGTGCCAACTTCTGGATCAACTGTGTTGAACCGAAGCCTCCTGGGCTCATCTTGCCTGATTTGCTCTGAAAAGCTCCTCTGGGAAGTGCAAGCCTGGGTGGGTTTTTGTTTTTGTTTTCTTTTTTTTTTTAATTTTCTGTCACTAGACCTGCCATGTGTGAGGAACCAATAAAAAGAATCTGACTACTGCAGAATTCACCTCCATGAATCTGTGTGAAGAGAAATCCCCAGCAGGTGGGGGGATACCAAAGCAGAGGCAGTCCCCAGGCCTTTCTACAGGTGACCTTTGTCTCCTGGCTGCCACCACCAGTGGGACAGAGATAAAAACGCCCCTGCCCCTCTGTCGTGGCGCCAAAAGTTGGCGAACTTATCCTGAGTCTGTTAAGATGTTTCCAAGAATGGACCATAATTTTCTTCCCTACAAGATAATTTGCTGTTGCTGTTGCTGCAGAATGGAAACTGTGAAGAAGCAATGTTTGAAGAAAACTAAGTTATTGTTGTAGAATCTAAATTAGCAAAACCGTTTTGAGCACGTGGTCGTTCATAACTAGAACCCTTTCTGTCCTGTGAAGTTGAATGCCTTTATCTGCCTTGAGTTTAATATCTCAAATGAATAAAAGGGGAATTTGTGATTTAACTGATGTCCTATCTTTTTGGGTTTGGGTTTTTGGGCCACTCCCTATGGTATAGAAGGCTTATATAGAAGGCTTACTCCCTACTGTGCTCAGGGATCACTCCTGGTAGTGCTTGGGGAACTGTGTGTGGTGCCAGGGATCAAATCCAGGTTATCCACATACACAGCAAACACCCTTGCACTATCTCTCCAGCCCTGTTTGTTTCTTTTTGTAGGACTTAGGCTTTCTGTCCTGCAGTTAGTATTTTACTGATCTGGTTGGTTTTTTTCTTTGTAATTATTGCTTTACCCTCCTCAGAACAAAATGTGAGCAAACCTGTTTGTTCCTTTTCACACCTTTTACCGCCTCCTCCAACAAAGGTGAGGAGCGAGCGATCGTTCTTATAGACCAGCTCTTGGTGGGACTTCTGCTTCCCCACCACGCGCCCCAGACGGAGACACAGAAAAAAGTGGTGCTTTGGGCTGGGGAACCAGGGCCATCTCCCCTCATGAACGACTGAGACAGTCATCTCTGCAGTGTTCCTTCACAGCTGTTCTCCCCACGTACCTGTGGGGTATCGTAACAAGTGGACCAGTTCCTAGCAGACTTCTGAGGTTTCTGTGCTGTGTTTCAGCTCCAGCCTAAGAAGCACCATGGCTTTCTTTTTTTTTTTTTTTCTTTTCCCAAACAGGCCACCCCTAGCAATGCTGGCAAGACAGTGGCGCCAGAGCCAGTCTTAGTGATGCTTAGCTAGGTGGTATAGGCTTGAGAGTTGAGGTGCTCGTAGGCCACACAGTGCCAGGGAGAGAACATGCGGACATTGCACTGGGGCTACCCACCCAGCCTGTGCATGGCATTTTTGAAGTACACTCATCTGCTAACTTGATTGATCTTTTTTTCTTGGAGGGGGACGTGATTGTTGAACCTATGGCTGACACTGTTCAGGGGCTACTCCTGGCTCATTACTCCTGGTGATACTCAAGAGCACAGACCTTACCGTGCCAAGGAGCAAACCTGAGCCTCCCACTTGGACCCAGCCCTGGAGCCTTTCCCTAATCCTGGATTGATTCCAGAATACTCAGCTCCAATTGTTAGGGTAGAGGACCTGCTGATCTTACTGGGTATGTCAGCTTACTCTGTGGGGAGCAGACAGCAGCATCAAGCCTTGGGCGTGAGAGGTACTCCCTACTTTTCATCATTCTTTAATAATGGAAATATTTTTTTTTAGATGCCACTGATAAGGGATTTGGGATGTAGACTCTCACTGTGCTGGTGTTTGTGTGAGAGTACTGGAATGACTCAACATTGCTTTCATCTTCACCATGGCTCTTGTTAGCCAGAGTCCAGTGTCCTTGGAAACAGTAACCAAGGTTACTTATTTCCATACTGTGCATTGTGGCAGCAGTTTCACCTTACGGCCTGAGTGACGATTAATAAGCACCCTTCTTTGGGGGTATTGTATTCTGCTAATTTTTTTTTCAGCTTTGTCTGTAATTGAATTTCTGTCTGGACATGTTTGAGGCAGAAGAGTTGCAGGGTCCAGCAGGGTGTTATCTGGGCTTTGTCTCCATTCCACATAGGCTCCTGCTTTATTTAGGGGATGTTTTGAGTGCATATATGAATCTTCTATTTAAAGATGCTGTCTGCTTGTTCTTTTTAAAACGACTAGTTAAGGAAGGGGGAGATTGTTTGTTTTTGCTTTTTTTTTGGTGGGGGGAGTCCTCCCAAGCAGTGCTCAGGGAGCCCAGGGATCACTCCTAGCAGTACTCACATCCAGGTTGGTGAGTCAGTGCTCGGTCTGAAGAGCCCTTCAGGGATGGGGGCCACTGGGTCAGCCCAGGGGCCTCCAAGGCGACACCTGGCCTTGCTCAGGAGGCCACATGGTGCCAGGAATTGGACCCAGTCACATACCTCACAAGCTCTACTCCCAACCCCAGAACTAACAAGGGTTTTTGTTGTTACTTTGGTTTGGGGGCTACCCCTGGCTCTGTTCAGGTTTTATTCCTCGTTCTATGCTCCAGGATCACTCCTGGCGGGCTTGGAACCATATAAGATGCCAGGGCAAACCGAGATTGGCCATGTACAAGGCCAGTGTCCTACCTGCTATAGTCTCTTGAGCCCAGCTGGTGAGTTTTGCTGTTTTGGAGTCACACCCAGTGACGCTTCAGAGACCTTCTGGTGGCAGAGGTTGAACCCAGGACTCCAGCATGCAAAGCATGTTGCCCAGCCTGAGAGCATGTCCCCAGCCCAAACTAGCGAGTACGTAAAGGTAAGGTAAAGGTAAAGGCCCTCCCGTTGATCGTCGATTTGCTCGAGCGGGCCCAGTAACGTCTCCATTGGAGACTTGGTTGTTACTGTGTCTGGCATATCGAATACTCTCGGTAGCTTGCCGGGCTCTCCGAGAGGGGCGGAGGAATCGAACTCGGGTCGGCCATGCTGGCCGCTTGTAAGGCGAACGCCCTACCGCTGTGCTATCGCTCCAGCGAGTACTTAAGCTTTTGAAAGATTTCAGACACTGGGGACACTGGTGGAAGGAAGTTGACACTGGTGGTGGGACTGGTGCTGGAACATGGTGCGCCTAACACTCAGCAGTGACTAATTTTGTAAACCATGGTGTTGTAATAAAAAATAAATTTAAAAAGACGTAGGGTATTTATGTGACGGGAATCTGAAATGTTTGCTCAGTGCTGGGGATCACTATAAAATTCTAACACCTCCTAGGTCACACAATATCCTCTGTGACTGGCTCAGTAAGTTGATATTTACTTTAGAAAAGTGTTAAAGGGGCATCCTGCTTATGGAGTTCCTTCTCATCATCTAGGCACTTCCCTGTCTTCTTTCCTTTCTCTTTTCCTAAAAGCTTTTTATGAATTCGAGAAAAAGGAAAAAGATGTTAGTGGAACAGAGAGTTCAACAGGCTGAGAATATCTGTTGCATGCAGAAACTCAGCTCAAATCCCTGGCACCTGTGTGGTTCTCCAAGCACCAGTGGGAGTGACCCCTACGCATCACTGGGTGTGGCCCAAAAAAACAAAAACAAAAGCACAATTATACTTAAAAGGTGTTAGACTTGGAGCTAGAAAAATAGTACAGTCTTTAAGACACTTGCCTTGCACATGGCTTACCCAGGTTCTATCCCCAGTACTCCTTATGATCCCCTAAGTCCACCAGCAGTTATCCCTCATGCATAACCAGGAGTAAGACCTGCATATAGCCAGGGATAATCCCCCCCAAAAAAATGTTGGGTTTTCTAAGTACAAAAATGTTTCTGGGGCCCTAAGAGACAGGTAGGTAGAGTTCTTGCCTTGCATATATCCAACTCAGTTCAACCCCCAGCACTACGTATGTTCCTCCGCACACCACCCAGTCACCCCTATGTACAGAGCCAAAAGCAGGCCCTAGTGTGTGATTTTCCCACAATGCCCCCCCCCACCCTTCCCAAAAAAGGAATTTGCTCTCTTTTTTTTTTTGTCACAGTAGAGTGCTAGGATTTCTCTAGGAAATATTCCTTAATTACCTGGGGATTTATTTGGGGTCTTATAGGGCTTGAGGTGAGTTCACTTTCCTGCTAACTGTCCTGATCCCCTTGCATTGTTCTCTACTCCAGAGAATGTGCTAGTATCATCTGTACAGGGGCCTCTGGCTTCCCACAGAAGCCAGTTCTTGATTTTCATTCCCCTACTCAAGACACTGGTGTGTGTTTGTAAAAGTGAGCAAGTGGAAAATCAGGAAAGGTAGAATTTAGATGGAAACCATTGCCACAGCCCACGTAAATTCTGGAAGATTTTGTTTATATAAATATGCAGCCACTGGCAGTGTTCTTTCTGGCCTCTTGCTGGCACACATCAAAAGTCTAGAAAATCACTGTGGATGAGGAGCCGCATCCTGCCTGGTACAGGAAGTGACATCAGACTGTGCTGCTAACAGTGGCATCTAAGTCTGAGAGTAAGGGGCAGACTTGGGCAGTGCCTGATGGCATTCTCAGGAGAATGTGATGAAGATAAACTCATTAAGCTTTTCCCCAGTGTGTTGTCAGAGGTGTTAGGACCCATGACCAGGGTAACATTTCCAAACTGCGGCAGAGGAAGATGTTAGTTACCCTCACCTGTAGTGAGGTTTGGTCCCAAACATCTGTGGGTGTGAAGAGCCTGAGTCAGCATGCCTTTTGGTAAAAACCCAGCTCTGGGTTGAAGGGTCCAATGCTTTGGCATCCTCCAAAAGACAACAAAAACTTTATCTTTTCTTTCATCTCGTATCATGAATATGAGTATCTGCCAGTTTCCTGACTGAGTGGTACTCAGTCTCTGTGCTCAGGAATCACTTCTGGCAGTGTTCAGGGGACTGTGTGTGGTGCCAGAGTTCATCACCATCAGTCGCGTGTAAGGCAAGCTTCTGCCCCCCCCCCCCCCAGCCCCCTGATATATATTTTTTTTTCTTTTTCTTTAAGTACTGTTCTTAATGTCACCAGAACTTTTCTTTATACAACTGTTGGAACACAATTTCTTCCATCAATACATACATACACACATGCCCTGAGAATATTAGTAAGAATTCTAATGTTAAGCAGATATATTTATTAAAAATAATGCTAATGGAACCCTGGGACACATTGACTCCAAGAGGGTCTTTGCAGCAGATTTCATTCTATTTAACAAGATGATGGAGTGTTTTCACTTACAGAGTCACTAATAGGAGGGAAAAGAAGAGAAGGGCTGGAGCTGGTGTCAGCCTTGGACAGAGTCGGCCTCAGGGCTGTAAGCAAGGCCCAGAGAGATTTGTTTGTGTTTGTTATTTTTCTACTGAGCTCCCCTCACACCTGTTGTGATCACAAAGGCATGGGAGTCAGCACAGAGCAGAATCAGTTTATTAAACTGTCCAGATTGTTAAAAATGATTAAAAGCCAGTTAAAGATTTTCATAAACACTATTCCAAAATGTTGATTTAAAAATGTTACTAGCAATGTATACTTTCCCCTTATGTTCCTCCCGTCCCTAGGTCTTAAAATAAATTTCAACACCCAGTGTAAAAAACACTTCAGGGAGAACCAGAGTCAACCATTGGAAAAGAAAGGTGACGAGGGACGTGGACGGTGGGTAGCAGCTGCTGGTACTGCGCCGGGGGGCTGCTGCGGGTGCCAGTGGCATCACATCCCCCAGTAAGGCATCAGGTGTCGGGACTCTTTCTCGTAGACGTCCGGGACTATGCCATAAGGTGTCTGTACCATTTTCACTGTTGACTTCCCAAAGAGCTGGCGCTCGTAGTCTATGAGCTGTCTCCAGAAGCCCACGTTGGGCCTGATGACGGGCCTCCGTGCTTTCACCCAGTTGTACGCCTCCAGCAGGCACACGTTGTGGAACTTCATCAGGTACGCGATGCAGAGAGTGGCCGAGCGGCTCACCCCGGCTGCGCAGTGCACCAGCGTGGCCCCATGCTTCCTGCTCACACTGTGGATCTTGTCGGCCACTGTGTCAAAGTACAGTCCGATGGGGGCGTGAGGCATGTCGGCCAGAGGCACTTTAACATACTCGAACTGGGGCCAGTTGAAGTTGGGGATCTCGATGGTGGCGTTCACGATGCAGGTGATGCCACGTGCCTGGAGGAGGTGCCGGTTGGAGGCCACGCTGCCCCTGCCCAGGAACAGGGAGGAGGTGATCTGGGCGATGCCTCCTATGTCGCCCTCGGAAATCATACGAGGGGCCATGAGTGTCCGTGGGAGCGTGCTGTGACCTCTGGAGCTCATGAAGACGCCGGCGGTCACACTCGCATCCTTGGGGGCAACACCGGAGTGTGCGTGCCGCCTTCCGCCCAGCAGTCCGAACTGACCGTTTCCTTCCTGAAACACAGGGATCTGTCATTGATCTGACACTCAAGTGATTGAATACAGCCTTTGGCGGGGTTTGTAGGATGGGCCGGTAAGAGGCTGAGAAGGTTGTTTTCTATAATAGATTGTGCACTTGAACGGATGGAGGTAAATCAATTTCTCCTGACCAGCTACTGGCGAAAGCAATTGATTTTCCATTGGCAATGGAAAATCAATGTGGAACTCAGCTCTGGTGATTGTTTAAAAAAGGCGGGGGCGGGGGAAGGGCACTAGAATAAAATAGTCAACTGATTTTAGGAAAAGTCAGAGATGGGGGCTGGAGCGATAGCACAGCGATTTGCCTTGCACGCGGCCGACCCGAGTTTGATTCCCAGCATCCCATATGGTCCCCTGAGCATTGCCAGGAGTAATTCCTGAGTGCATCACCAGGTGTGAACCAAAAAGCAAAAAAAAATAAAGTTAAAGAGAAACAGGTCCACTGATTCCTGAGCAAGTCTTCAGGGTCTTGCCCTCTTTGGGGGGTGAGGGAGCATCTTCCTGGCAGTGCTGGAGGGCTATGTGTTGTCAGGAATCAATCGGGTGGGCAACATGCAGGGCATGTGTCTATACTCTCTGGCTATTTGTTGGCTTTTGCGGGAGGGGGTGCTGCACCCAGCAGTACTCAGGGACTAGGGCCTCCCGCTGCAAAACATGCACTCCAGCTCAGAGCACGTGCTTTCTGGACCAGGTTCTTACTCTTGTTGAAGAGCAATGAGTGATGTTTCCTGCTAATGAAGAAATGGAATTCTGACCCCTCCTTAGAGACTTTGGAGGCAGAGGGTAGAGGTCACACCTGGGGACCATGAAGTGTCTTGGAGATCAAACCAGGGCTGGCCACATGCCAAGGCAGGCACTTATAACCTGTTTATCTGGACCACACATGTTTTTTTCATACACTCGCTTGTCTCCTCAGAATGGCTATAGTTTCCTAACCTAATTTTAGATCTTACAAGGTAAGTATAAAATATGATATCACATTTAAAAAGCTATGTTTAATAAATTGGCTTTATGGACTAGAAAGATACTAAATTGTAACTGAATTATATGAGAGAAACATTACAAATATATTGTTACCTTAGCTCTGTAAGGTAAGGTAAGGTAAAGGCCCTCCCGTTGATCGTCGATTTGCTCGAGCGGGCCCAGTAACGTCTCCATTGGAGACTTTGTTGTTACTGTGTTTGGCATATCAAATACTCTCGGTAGCTTGCCGGGCTCTCCGAGAGGGGCAGAGGAATCGAACTCGGGTCGGCCATGTTGGCCGCTTGTAAGGCGAACGCCCTACCGCTGTGCTATCGCTCCAGCTCTGTATTACTTTAAAAAAAAAAATAGGTAACTTCTGGCCAGAGAAAGAGCTCAAAGGACAGAGCATATGCTTTGCATAGAGGAAACCTGAGTTTGATCCCCAACATCATATGGTTCCCCAAACACTGCCAGGTGTGACCCCAAACCAAAAGATAGCTAACTCCTATTGTATCTGATGTGAACACTTTGGATATCCAACATGTTTGGGACAAAATGTGCTGCAGCATTTCCCGGAAATAATCCCTGCCAATTTGAAGGCCTCGCACTGTAGCACTGTCCTCCCATTGTTCATCGATTTGCTCGAGCGGGTACCAGTAACATCTCTATTGTGAAACTTGTTACCATTTTTGGCGTATCGACTACGCCAGTGGGAACTTGCCAGGCTCTGCCGTGCGGGCAGGATACTCTCGGTAGCTTGCTGGCCTCTCTGAGAGGGCTCTCCAGGTTGGCTGCGTGCAGGGCAAACACCTATCGGAAGGTGCGCTATCGCTCCAGCCCCTATTGGGAGGCTTAGGACTCAAAAATTCATCTTAGGTGCATTTTAGCTGATCTGTGGTTAAATGTGGTAACTTCACTGCCCTTAGTCAATACAGGGCTCAATCCTACCTACTTAGTTTCATATCCGAAGTCTACATTCTTTTCTTTAGTATTTACCCTAAAGGACATAATTTCTATTAAGTATTAGCCATGAAAAGGGAACTGTTTGGTTTCCTGGGACTTTGGGCACATTTATTCCTCTCGCCACGGAGTCCTACTGCCAGGTCCTGTGCTCCCTGGGACAGGATTTAGCTGCGCCCAGGAGACAAGGAGAGCCTCTGGTCTGCAGCCGGGAGAGCAGAGGGGCTACTCACGCGTAAGCGATCCAGCGTGCCCTGGAGTGCTGGAGCTGGATCCAGGAAGTCTTAAGCAAGAGTGCTGATCACAGCAGTCACAAATCAGATCTGCAGGTAAGACAAGGAGGCAAGAACATGGCCAGTGAGACAATTCAAGAGAAGAACGAATAGTCAAATCTTAATGCGACGAGGCCCACACAGTGCCAAACTTGGTCACAAAGGGAAATTTAAAGCGATTCAAGAGCACAGCCTAGACTGAAACCCGGTGAAACCCAAGGCGCTGCTCTCCGTGGGCACCGAGAACCCAGCCACGCAGCTCCAGAACTGGGGCTGCCCACCCTCTTGCTTGGGCAAGGAACTGGGGCTCTGCTCTGCCCACTGGGCTTCTGAAGAAGGAGTGACACAGGATTTGATGGGTTTTACTATTGAAAACCTATCACCTCTACTCCCGTTGTAGTCCTGGCTAGCCTTATTCCCAGGCAAGGCTTCTACCTAGACACGAGTTTGTGTTTTGTACACTGATATAATGGAAGCCTAGTATAAAGGGATTTATTGGGGTGGAGGGTGGGGCAGTTCTGGCTTTGGCTCAGCCTATCTTGAAGCTTGAGTATTCCTTTTTAGGGCTAAGTAGCATTCCACTGTGTGGCTACAGCATGAATGATCCACTCTACTTAGGGCATGCGTTCCTTGAGGTTCTGGGCTGTTACAAGCAGGGCTGCTGTACGTGTCCAAGCGCGGGAGGTCTTTGTGTGAACTACACCAGTCTTTCTCTGGGTTGAAACTGAGGAGCAGACAGGCCAGACCACCTAATGCGCATGTTTCAAGTTTTCTTTGCAAACAGCTATAGCTTTCTCCTGCGGTGGTTTTTTCTCCTGAGCATGTGAGAACTCGCGGGAGGGCCGGTAAAACAGTGCCGGGTCCCACCCCAGCTCTGACTCAGTGGCTGTGAATGGAGCATTTCCCAGAGCATTGTAGAGGCGGGTACTGTGCTGTGCCCCCCAGATCCTGCCCTGCCCAAACTGAGGCCCATGCACATGCAGAAGATCCCAAGTCCCTCCCAAGAAAATACCTTGCCCAAAGGGAGCCACTGCAGAGCTACCCTAAATCCTACAGCGGTCCAAGCACTTGACTTGCATGAAGCCAACCCTGATCTGATCCCCAGCACCAAATACAGTCCCTCAGCACCACGGGGCATGGTGCAAATTGTCTCGCCCCCCCCCCCAAAAAAAAGGAGCTACTGCTGCAACTGCACCCCAGGTCACACTCATCTTGGGGTATCCACATCTTGGATGACTCAGGAAGACCAAAGAAGTACCCAGAGAGGAACTCAGTGAAGTCACGTTGGAAGAGCAAGCACGCAGAGCTGCAAGGAAGCAGGCACATGTGCGTGTGCAGGAAGGCGGAGGGAAGAACATTCTGTCCTGTGACAGAGCAATCGCCTGCCACTTCCAAGTCTGTCCCTGGCAGATTCCTGAGAGTTTAAAAAGCCAAGTCACTGTGGTAAGAAACACAAAATGTGGCTTTCTAACTGAGGGCAGCGACTCCCTCTTGCAGGTCCCACCTCCTACAAGGTTTCCGTGTGACCGTGGCCAGGACATGATGAGCTTTGTGGGCAGCATCGCCCTCTGAGCCGAGCCTGCCCGGGCACCACAGACCTGCACCAGCCTTCCCCGCAGGGCCCGGGGCACCGGGTGGGGGCGCTGAGCAGGGAGAAAACAGACCAAGTCCTCAGGGCAGAAGCCAAGAGAGACAGACACGGCGCTCCGCCCTGCCACGGCTGCTGCCAGCAAAGCTGCTCAGAACACCAAAGCCAGGTCCAAGGTTTGGAAAACAACTCCTGCCGGAGAGCACTCAGAGGGCACCGGGCCTGGCAGCGCCTCCAGCACACACTCCTGGACGCTCCTGCAGAGCAGAAAAGGGGTCGGAACGAGCGAAATGATGGAGAAGGACAAGTCACGGGAAGCTTGGGGGAAGCCAAGGCTGTGGGGCTGCTGTGTGCCCGTGAGACAGGACAGTTTACACCTCTACCCCCCCCCCCCCCCAGCACTCAATGTCCCAACGGGCTCACACACCTGCCTGCCATCTGTTTTGGTTTAGGGGAAGGGGCGTTAAGCCACACGACGACACGGTGGTACACTGGGGACCATAGCAGTGCTGGGAATCACACCAGTAACTACTGCGTGCAAACCAGACACCTTAGCCCCATATGATTTCTTTGGCCCCCTAAGTATGTTCCAAATGCTACTATGAAACAAAGACCAAATCCCAGTTTATTCCTGCTGCCCGAAGTAGGAAGCTCTCCAACCTATAACAACATGTTAGTGATCTCTTTTACAAAGAGTGAATGGCTCCAGGGTGAGATGAAACAATCTTCACACACTTTCTTCTCATGAAACTTTTTTTGATCATCTTTAGTGGATTATTTATAATAAGGAATGCAAAATGAATTATTTAGGGCCTGCAATTGGTGGTTGGGAAACTTCAAAATAATGGTGTTGGGAAGGTGTAATGGTGGTGGGATTGGTGTTGGAATATTGAATGTAATTATTGTGAACAACTAAAATAAAAATTAAATAAATTTTTTGTAAAAACTCAGACGACTCCTCCCTGCAACACTCTGCCCTGCGGAAGCCATAGGCAGCTCACAGGGGGAGTCCCGAGGTACCATCACAGCAGTGACCTTTTACCCGGAGACCAAGGAAGGGCCATGCCGCTCTCCATGGAGTCCCACCTCATCTCCCAGGCACGGCATTTACTTCTTTTTTGAAAAAAAAAATTTTTTTACTTGCTGTTTTGGGTCACACCCAGCAATGCTCAGGGATTACTCCTGGCTCTGCACTCAGGAATTACTCCTGGTGGTGCTTGAGGAACCATATGGTATGCCAGGGATTAAAACCGGGTCAGCCACGTGCAAGGCAAATGCCCTTATCCACTGTACTATCGCTCTGGCCCTGCAGCATTTACTTCTTGGAGGAAAAATTTTCCCTGGCCAGGGTCATGAAGGTAGAGTGAAAGACAAAAGGAGTGTGTGTGAGTATGTGTGTGTGTGTCTGTGTGTGTGTGTGTGTGTGTGTGTGTGTGTGTGTGTGCCGTGTATCTTGCAGAATGCTCTCTCTGCTGGTCTCTGAAGGATAAACATCAGAGTACAAAGTCCTATAAAAAAGACAGGATTCACGCCTGCAGTGGCCTGTCATCTCAATGGTTCAGTATCAAAAGTGGTGGCCACACCTTGCCAGGACCCTGCAGGTACTCTATTTTTTTTTTCTTTCAAACAACTCAACTACCATGATCAGCATTTAAGGCCATTCTATCTGCTGCTTTTCTTCCTCATGTTGAATAAGCAGAAACTGGCCATAGTGCTGCTAGAATGACTGTAAAATGATCTGGCAAATATTTTTAGCTTAAGAAGTTTCAGAGGGGCGCGTCTATAACAGGTCTCTGTAAGGGTTAATACCTGGAAGGCCAAAACCACCCCCTTGTTTCCTTCTACTAAACTGCCTAGCTAGTTATTTAAAAAAAAAAAAAAAATCAAAGTCACTTTTTTTTTCCCAAAGTCACTTTTAACATTTTGGGCTGAATCAATAGTACAGCAGGTAGGGTACTTTTCTTACATGAAGCCAACCCAGGTTCAATTCCCAGCAACACTGCCAGGAGTGATCCCTGGGCATAGAACCAGGACTAAGCCCTGGAGTGCTTGGTTCTACCACGCACTGCCAGGTGAGATCCAAAAACAAAAAACAAAAAATAGAAACCATTTTAGCCTACAATGCCATAAACAAATAGTAATTAAAGAGAACAATAGCATTAAATCAGAAATGTGCTGCACTGGGAAGAAAGTTAAAAGACTCTATGGAAAAATTACTTTCTGACAGAACAATAAGAATGAAAGTTAAATATTGAGTTATGGGACAAGAGATAGTACCGCAGGTTAAGGGTTTTTTTGCCTTGCATATGGCAGACTGGGATTCAATTCCCGGAATCATATATGGTCCCCCAAGCCCTCTGGGAGTGAACCCTGAGCTTACCAGCTGGGTGTGGCCCCAAGCCATAAGTGCATAAATAAATAAATAAATAATGAGTTACTGATGCACTCAGGTAAAATTAAATAAAGAACATTCGCCAATCGTTCTTGGTTATTTAGCTAAAACATCACCATCTTACACTTGCAGAAGAGATTCGTTTTGCTTTTCCTATGACATAAATTGATTGTGACATAATGTCCTGAGAAAAAATGATAAAGGCACGTAAAGTTCCAGACAGCAAGTCCACATTCTGCTTTGGAGATTCCCAATGAAACAAGCAACCAGAGCAACTGTTAGTGGCACTGGGAAATGGTTCTCGAACACTGCCGCCGCCCGCAGGTGCAGAGTACAGTCCACGGAGGCACAGCCCCAGACTGGAAGTTTAGTCTCACTGGAGAAGTTCCCTGACTTCCAGGCCAGAAACAGAATGAGAAAAGACTGGAAGGGGATGGTCACAATTTGAGTACTATGAGGTCAAGTTTTCTGAGGGAACCAAGTGCTTTAATGCCTTTAAATTAACCTGGGTGCTTAATAGTTTATTTCGGAGTGGGAGCCACAACCCAGCAGTGCTTGGAGTACCATACAGTGCTGGGATCAGATCAGGAGGGGCTCCCACACGCACTCCAGCCCCCTTGAGCCATCTCCCTGCTTATTCCACCCCCCCTCACCAACCTGGATGTTTAAATAACATTACAGTATTTCCTGAGTTCATGCCGCATGTTCCACACTATTCTAAGGCAGTGCCAAGAGACAGCTGGCAGGATGCATTTGCCAAAGCTGAGCTCCCTTATGTCACCTCTCACCCCACACGGGAGTCACAGTCCCACCAAATGCCGGGCAGGATGGCTATTTCAATCCTCCCCTCCCCCCCCCCCCAGCCCCACGCCACCTTACCCTGGACAAGCCTCTGAAACAAAATGCAGCCACAAGTGCACAGCAGAATCAACCTTTCCAAGGCAAAGTAGGAACCCATCCTACTCTTCCACCTTTTCCTGCCAGTCAAGTTCTTGGAGGCCAGGCATCATGCTGGGAAGAAGCCCAAGATCCATGGATTGGGAGGACAGGTCGTGGTGGATGTCCTGGCTA